GTCCTTGACTCGTGTCCCCCCAATGGGAGACTCAAACATGCGGTCTTGGTACCCTCCTGGGGCGCTTTTGGGGCGGTCTTGGGCGCTCTTGGGGCCCTCGTGATGACCTCTTGGGCTCGTTTTGGGGCGGTCTTGGGCCGTCTTGGAGCCATCTTGGGGAAGGTATGTCGGAGGCTATCTTCAGCCAGAACGACGCACATTGGACAAGTTTGGAGGCCATCTTGGGCCTTCTGACTGTGTATTCGGAGAAATCTTACTTAAACACAAATCTTGCCAGAAGGCGGCTCTGCATTTTGGTCCGTGAGCCGACGGTGGTTTTGTGAGCTCGCAGGGCCTGTTCGATCACGCGTGCCGTGGATGCTGCCGCCGCCGCCGCCATAGCTGGCTGGATGGCCGCTGTGAAGCTGTGCGCCATTCGAGAGACAACGAGGAAACTGCTCAACGAAACCATAAAGCAAGAAAAGGAATCGATGGAGGAGGAAAAATGAAGGGCGGCAGGGTGACGAACATCGGCGGCGAGCCCAGTGGGGAAGGCGGAAACCGCGGGCATGATCAGAAAGCTCAAAGTCCCCCAATGTGCTTGAAAGTTTTTTGGAACCTTCGCCCGGTCTCCGCCGCCTTCTGACAGAGCCTGCCCCCACTCACGTCCCCTTGGCGCGCCGCAGAAAGCAGAAGGGAAACAAGAAGGGGGGTGACTTCAAAACACAGTGCGGGGAGCATGAAAAGAAAATTTGATATCGAACGCGGCTTATGATTTGACAACGTGGTTTTGAAAATTGTGCTCGAACAGAAATCGCTTGCGCGCTTTCGTACACAAACACTATAACCCCGCATATGTTTTTGCAACAACGAAATAATACGTTCGCCGTGCCGATCCGACACCTGAATGCCGGCCTCAAAATAACGGCGCCAATGAACTGCCTTCTGTCGACGTCGCATGACGGTATATTTGCCAACCCGACATCGGCCGAACAAGGACGTGACTGACGGCGGCGGTTTCACCATCCTCCGTAAAAAAAACCTCGGGGTCGAGGACACAAGACAAAGGACAACAACTACAGCGAACAAGCTTTAGTCGGGGTACGGCACACGGATATATCGACGACCCAGCTCACGCTGATGGCATGCCGAGGAGAGCGGAGCAGGGGAGAGGGGGACAACAATGCTCGACACGGAGATCCCCACATGTGTCCTTGGAGCTTCCCGCTGTGGGTGACTGCGCTTGACCTCTTCGCATTGATCAGGAGGCTCGGCGTGCGAGAAAAAACAAGTTTGCAAACGGGCGAATGACACCCTCCCCTTGGGTTGCTAAACTGAGCGTCTCGCTCACAAACTGGAGGAGGGGCACACAAATGGATGGAGACTCATACATCCGACATCTTGATCGAGAGAACGCGTTTCACGGGTGCTTGCCTTGGGAACATTCGGCGGCGCGTTTCGTACCGGGGGGGTGCCCCCCCCCCCCCCCAAATTCGGCGCCGTTGATCAAAACCACAGGGACTCACTCCCCCCCCCCCCCTTCCCCCCCCTCCCGAACCTCCCCCCCCTCCCCCCTCCTCCCTGGCGGTCGCCAGCAGCGCCGACGGCGGGACAGCAGGGGGGGGAGAGAGGAGGAGGGGAGGGGGGGGGATTCGAACCCCCCCCCGCCCCCCCCCCTACATCCAGGGGGGGTGGTCCGGTTCCAAGCCCCCCCGCCTCCAAGCGACCACTGAACGCGCTCTTTCTGATCTTGTCAACTCGAGGTCCCCGAAGTCCCGACCGTGTCCCCAAGGCCGGTTTCTCATCCCACTTCGTTTTCTGGAGGTCCAGGGGGGCCAGGCGGGGGCCACCTGAGGCCGAAAGGCCCCAATTCCTGCGCCGTGGAATTATATCGTTCACGACGCGAGCGTGTCTGAGGTGCGCGGGGTGGCGGGGAGGGCGAGCGGTGACGGACGAGCAGCGAGGGCTTGCAGGCTGCCGCACCAGCGGCGCGCAACCGCCCAGCACGTCGACTGGGACGAACTGGGATAGGAAGCCGAGAAGCAGGGCCTCGTCCCGGGTGCACTCCTCCGGGTGCAGGGATCGTAGGACCAGAACGATGTCAAGGTAGGATTGGTTCTGTCTTCCCGAAGATCCACCTCGACTCTCGTGCTCACGCCGACCACGGGGGCGACGCCTCCGCACACAACAGGCAACTCCGCAGGAGTGAACGCCAACACGCAGGCCTGCGTCATGGCCGCGGCCCGGCGTTACATTGCAACGCCGATGGCCGCCTGCGTCATGCGCAGCAGCGCTCGGTGGCAGCGCAGCCCACGTTCCCGGCATTGCTCATCGTTCCGAGCGGCCCTCGTTTCTGCAACCCGTGTGGAAACTATTCAGGAGGGCTGGGAATGTGAAGGACGAATCATTATAATGACCCCGTGTTCATCTGAGATGATCGTGGTCGGGATGCGGACGTCTCGTCCCAAAGACGGCCCTCTGAGAGCACAGTGGTGGCGCCCCGGAGCGCCGAGAGAACGACTGGCTCGACGGTGCCATAACAATCGCAAACCAAACGCACGCATGCACATGCAGGAGGGGGGCGAAGCGGGGGTAAGGCAGCCATTCTCTTCCTCCTCTCCATCATCTTCACTCTCCCTCCCTCCCTACTGCATCCGCTGTCCTCCTTAGTTCGCCCCAGGGTGCCCCGTCGCCACGGCTGGACCCCGCTCGAACAAAGAAACTGGGACGAACAATTCATGCAGTCCAACAAAAGCGCTGCAGGAGGAGCAGGGGGTGGGGGGGCGAAGGGAGACGGGGAGACGCGCACCCAGCCCCGCCCACCCACGGCGGGTTCGTGTCGTCACCACCTGCGCGTCAGTGTCCGACGCCACACCGCACGGATCGTTCAGAGTTGAACAATCGCGGCATTGTAATGGCGCAAATCCCTCGATGTCGGCGGGCAGTGGGCCAATGGCGGCGTTCAATCTTGAACGCTGGTGCTGGGGTCGCCGCCGCGTCAATACGGCGCGAACCTGCTGTACAAGCCCATCACTCCACCCGTCAAGCCCCCAGCCCACCATACATCCATTAAGTCAGCCACCGCCCCGTCCCATTCGTCCACCTGCCAGGCAGGAGTGGGGTCCTGACGGAAGCGGGTCCATCGACCCCTGGGTTTTCCCTCGACACCTGCACCTCAACCTTGGTCGTTCTTCTTCTGACGGTCCAGGGGGCCTTTGAAGGTCGAGTCTGCAGGACGAGTTTCAAAGGTATTGCGTTTGGGCCGCCGTTACGCTGCGGAACTCATTTTCCGAACGCGAACAGGCCAACGACCCATATCACAAAACAGTTAGTGGCACTGCCAAATGAGCGCTTCAACGCAGGCTGCTCAATAACAACCGAGAGCGTTCCAAGATGACGAAGGCATGAATAAAAAAAACTCCAGGGCCCCTTCCCCTCAGGACCCCATTTTTGTTCATGCCGACCCAGCGTGGCGGCGCGCATGAAAGGGGGCGGGGCGAAGGGGGCGGCGTTCTGCAGTGACTTGTTCAGCAACCCGCCTGCCTCCCTCGAAGCGTTTTCGTGGGCCTCCGACTCCTTCTGCAAGGCCCCTTGCCCTTACTTTTTCAGAAGGACGCCGCACTCCTCGCCCAATCCCACATGGCGCGCCGCCAAGATGAGACAATGGCTAAAATCGGCGCGGTCTGGGACACCGGCCACACGATAGAGTGACCCCGGACAAGAGCAAGCTTTGGCGCGCAGCGCTACTGGGCGCAAAGGGGGCTCAACTCCGGCGCGCAGGCTTGCGCAGGGAGGGACCATGCGGACCGGCGCCGAAGGTCACTGTGGCAAGAATCGCCCTCATGCGTAGCCAGTGGCTCGGCGACGGCGCGCTCGCGTCAATAAGACCCAGGCGTTGATTTCAGAGGCCGTGCGGCGGCTTGCCCGTGTGCCCGACACCTCTTATATACGATTGGCATCGGCTCGCCGTTGAAGACGGCCGAGCTCGTTGAAGGAATTACATGTTGATGTGTACGTCTGCGTGTATATCTATATGCGTATGTTTACACATGTATGTACATACATATACTCTATATACATATGTCCGTCAGAGATGGACTGCCGACGACAAGAGGGAAGACGGAACGCACGCGCACCCCCAAACAAAAACCTCTTCCCAGTCGCCTCGCGAGCCAGCGGCGCTCGCGGGGCGGCGGTCGACGAACGAGGACGGACGACGACGGAAACGACCCTCTCCTCGACCCCTAGAAGAAGGAGGGAAGGCAAGAAAAGGAGCGGAGGGAAACCCGAGAGGGATCCCACGGCCCCCGAAACCCGGCGGGTTTTCTACTCAAAATAAGGTTTGCGCCAAGTACGAAGGGTCAACCACATGCCCCTCCTGAAAACCCCTAACGCAAAGCTCTTCGGTCCCAGTCCGCCCCGGGACCCCTCCCGAGAAAAGGCGGCCCGCCCGGGGCCCGAAACAACTGTGTGGCGGAATTATATCCGAGTGTGGGGGGGCCGGGGTGGGGGCAAAAACACGCCCCGCTCACTTGACGGGCGGGGCGGCCGCGTTCGAACCCAATTCAGTAAACTATAAAGAGAGAACTTCTTGTCGTGAAAAATAAAAGTTCTCATCGGCGCGGAGGACCCCATCCACGGCGGGCGCGAAAACTACGACCTTCAAGCCATGGCTCCGTGGCCGAGCGAAGGCGACAGAGTGGGGGCACGAAAGCGACAACGAGGGACATAAGAAGCATCGAAACTTCTTGACGTGACGAACTTTTTCGCTGCCACTCACTTTCGCTCGTGTCATGCCAATCGCGATAACCACTCCGGTCCTTTCTATTCGGAGGGGGGGTGGTCTTCCCGCGGGCGGTCAGCCGACGGGCGCACCCGCCGCGCGGGTTGGGGCGCGGCTGCAGGGCGTCCCGAATTCGAGACCGCCCCCGGGCTGACGGCACCGTCGAAAAAGCCGAGCTGGCGAACCGCGCTCCCAGCGCCGAGCCGTATTTACATGTACGGGAGCATTATTTCGGACGCTACTTCCCTTTCCCTTCCGCCTCCCCTGCTGGAAGCTCCCCCCCCCTCTCCCATCCTTTTTCGCCTCCCCCCTGAACCCCCCCCCTTCCCACCGCTTTCGCCACTCCGAAGCTACCGCCCCCTCCCCCCCTTCCAAAGGGAGGGGGGCTTAACCACCCCCCCTCCCCTTGACCCTCCCCTTGACCCCCCTCTGCTGGAAGCTACCCCGCCCCCCATTCCCCCCTTTGGTTCCAGGGGAGGGGCTTAGCAGCCCCCCCCCCTCTTTCGGCACCGCGGAAGCTACCCCATCCCTCCCCCCCTTACGAAAAGGGAGGGGGAGCTTGGCTACCCCCCCCATCCCCGTGACCCCCCTCTGCCGAAGCTGCCTGGGGCCACGGTGAAACGGCCGCGCCGCGGCCAGCACCCAGAGGGGGAGCTCGCAGCCGCGTTTCCACCCATGGCTTGACCAGCTGAGGATGGCGCGCCCTTCGCATTGGGGGCGCAGGCCTGATGGGTTGCCTCAGGGGGCGCCGTTCGCAACCTTGCGGACGGCGGCAAAGCGCGCCAGCTGCGCCGGCGTTGTAGCCTTTCCTACGGGAGGCACGCAGATCCTCGTTCCTCCCTCTTCCCGCTTCGCGGCCAGGCGAAGGAGGGTAGCTGCGTCCACGCCTGTGCCCTCGAAGCGCGCCTACGCGCAATGCGAGTCTGGAGAAACTCGCACATCCGATGAGAAACCGCGAGTTGGCACCTGCGATGTCGACGAGGAGTGCCACGATAAACTGCTCGAGCGTCACGCGTGTCTGCCCGCTCGAACCAATGTCTCTCTCTAGGGAGACCCTGTTCAGTTTTGTTGGCTGTCTGGCGCTGGCGCGTCGCAACCGCGCGCGGCACTCTGCGCTGCGCGCGCTGATCCTATGTTGTTCAACATGGCTGATGAAGCCAACATATTCGACTGACTGGTTCAACCTTCTGAATGTTATTAAGGATTCGGGCCGCTTTGATCGCTGTCCTCGCAATGTGAGGCGTTCTCCTAGATCGAGCGGGAAGGGGCCCTGCGCCTGCCCCATCGACGACTCTGGCTACCTGGGGCGCGCGAAAACTGCACCCGTCATCGTCGTGGCGAACCAGAGCATGGCGACTGGCAATACGCGTCTTTGCAGAGATGTCACTCGGCAAACGGATCTTGCGCGTAGGACGCGCGGCATCGGCCCGTGGCTGGGCGAGTTCCCCCTCAGCGCCAGGGCCCTGCAAAGCCAGGCGCGCTAGACCCGGGCGCCCGACGCCCCTCGATGCATTTTGTTCAAACGGTGGCGCGACAAAAATGCGCCATGTCGCTTCTAGAACAAACCCGGACAGAAACCCTAAACCTGGACGCAAGCACGAGTCCTGCAGTGCAGCAAACAAACACGCGCGGGTGCTGAAACGTGTGGCTTTGCAGAAAAGGGTGTCGTTTCCTCGGTTGTCCGTGTCCTGGTTTATCTGTGCCCCGGCCTCTAGGGGCCCGACTGCGGCGTTTCTCGCATTTGCCGGCCGCTCAAAAACAACGGGAGCACATTCCCTTCATCGTCTGCAGCAGCGCAGCCTCAACATTTGCAAAGGATGAGGGCGCAGCGCCCATGGCGCCGCCAAGTAGCCCTTCTGCTGTCAGCGCGCGATCGTTCCTTGCATTTCCTCGTGCACATACAATGCGTCTGGGGCGCGGTCTGTTCTTCTCGCTAACGCCCAAATCGCGCGCATCACCGCTGAGGGACATCTTGCGCCTTCCGACGAGACTGCGCAAGCAGCGACCTTCGTCGACGCAGCGTCAGCATCGACTTTTGCCGACGCAACATCCACATCGCCATCGGAACGCATGTCGCTGCACACGGAGGGAGTCGCATAATGCATCCGGCCGTGGACTTGGTGGCTTCGCCAAATGCCTTAATCGTAAATCAAAACTCATCGGCCACCTGACCAATGAACCGCGCGCGCCCAGACTCATCAGCAAGGCCCGCAAGAATGTGAAAGTGCTTTCCCAGGCGAGCCCCGGACTCGGCATACTGGAACGAAACTGTTGCTTCTGCTTGGCCCTTGGGGCGCTGGGCATCGATCTCAGAGATCAACCTCAGCGCCTCGCCGATGCCGGAAAGCTCAGGCGGCGGCGCCCTGCGCCCACCTGGGGGCCTCCACCGTGCGACGCAGATCTGCGTGGTAGCTATAGCCCATGCGCGGCGAGAAACAATCGCGCATGGCAACATGCGCCCCCTTAGTGTCCGAGGCCTTGCCCGCCCGATTCGCGCCGTAAGTCCTTGGATCCCGAAGCGCGATGCTAGCGCCTGCAGAAGGGTCCAAGGCTGGCTGCTTCTGCAGCGCAGTCCTGAGGTAATCAAAGTCGCCAAGATGCGGATCGGATGGCATGCCCCTATCTTCCCTTTCCGGACGACTGGGGCACACGAATCCTGAGGAGTCCCAGACTACGTCCCTTTCGAAGAGGTCGCTTCTCCATGCCTGACGCCGTCGCCGACTTTCACGTCCAATCTGCGAGTCGATAGACCGTGCCTGAGGCAGTGCGATAGCAACCTCATCGGGCGTCTCCATGACCATCCGAACTGCATGAGACAATGCATTGGCTAACTGGCGAACGGCCGCGTAGGCAACGCGGCCGTTAGCCACTTCAGCCCACTCGAAGTCGGGGGCTCCCCTGACATCGCGGCGGTCAGTAACATCGAGGCCCTCCTCTTACTGAGCGGCAAGTGACTCGGCCTTCGCCGGCGCCGCGGGATGCTGCGCGGCGGCCCTCGCCGCCGCAAGTGCAGGGCCATCGCCGCCGCTGCCCAGCCGCGCCGAGGCGAGGCGGAAGCGCCCGCCTTCGTTGGCGCAATATTGGAATAGCTCGGCGAAGCCGGCTGGGGCTCAGCCGGGGTCTTCGCCCCAATGTGCTTACAGAGGTTCTGGGGCGCAGGCATTGAGCTCGCCAATATATGGGGCCACCGTGTCTGGGCGCTTGAATTGAACATGTCTTGCCACGTGCAGAAATCGCGATGGCGGGGTCGCCCTCGCAGTTGCAATCGCCCCTCGTTGGCCACCCATCCCTCAATTGCGCCCGGGCGCGCGCGCCTTGCGAACGTAGCCTCGCGCCCCGACTGGCGATGGCCACGCGCGCAAAAGGAGCTTCGCGCATTTGCGTGGACCACCAAAATCTTCAAATCTACCTTCGCGCTCTGGTCATCTCGCAAGGATGGGCCCGCTGATAACGCGTGGAGGCACTGCGCCTGCGCCTCGTGCCACGTAAGGGGGGCAATGTGGGCATCGGCGCGCCTCGCCCCCCTGGCCAGGAAGATCTTCTCGCCTGGGTCAACGCCAAAATGCGATGCTGTTGGCCTCTGATACGTCGACAGTGCCAACTGGGAAACAATGTAGCAGCGACCTTCGCCGCGGCCAGGGCTCTCGTCAGTCGCCCCCCCCCCCCCCCCCGCCCAAGCGCGCCTCGTCCAGCGGTCGCCGAGGCGCGGCCGCGGAGGCATCCATATCGCACGCAGAATGCCCCAGGGCGCGCGTTGGAAGAACAGCTGGTGCCATTCAGAACGCCCAGTATCCACCGAATCCACTCGCGCGCGCCACTCGGCCACGCCACCAGGTCATTGATCAGCTTGCCAGTGCCCCAAGACCACGCATTCGAATCCCGACGAAGAGACTTGCGCGACTCGAACACGACGCCCTTCACGGGCACTGCCGAGTCCAAGCGCCCCTGGCATACAGGCACGCTGCGCGAACATCTGATGAGCGAGAAGCATCTACCTCTGCGCTCGCGCAGCGGGCCAGAGCATGGGTTCTTCCGTTCGCATGCCAGACGCACTGGGAAGTCGACAACACAAAAGTTTACACTCGCGAGGCATCGCTGAGAGCAATGTCCATCTTCTCTCACCAAGCCATTCGACCTCAGGCCGCGGTGCCTCCGTCGGGCGCGGCGGCTTCCGCGCGTTGGCCACGTCTCGCCGCCCGCGCGGCCAGGGCCTACGTGGCGGGGGCGCCTTGCGCCCATCATCGGCATTCGCCGCCGCAAGACCCCGATCGTTGGCGACAGGCGCGCCGCTGCCCCCCGCGGGCGCGAGGCGTCGCTGCGGGCGGCTGCGGGGCAGCCTTTGGCGCTGCTTCTGGCGCGAGCCCAGGGCCCCCGCATGTCTCCGCAGTGCGGCCATCGCCGCGGCAGCGGGGACGACGTCGGCCTTCGCCGACGCAGCGGGGGCGGCGGCCGCCGCCGACGCCGCGGCGCTGCCCGCCCCCAGCTTTGCATCAGTAGCTGGGGCAGAGGGGGCAGGGCCTCCGCGCGGAGGCGCGCGGTGCATTTTCAACCTCGCTTGCCCCGGGGCTGCAAACATGAAAACGCCAGAGCCGTTCGGTCTAGGGGTGCCCCCCCCCCCCCCCCCCCCCCCTGCGATTCTCACCATTTCACTGTATCATGCTCCGCCCTCTTTCTTCTCGCGCCCCCCCCTCCTCTCTCTCTCTCTCTCTCTCTCTCTCTCTCTCTCTCTCTCTCTTTTTATCACTCTCTCTCCCATTCTCTCTCTCTCTCTCTCTCTGTCCTCTCTCTCTCTCTCTCCCCCTCTCTCTCTCTCTCTTTTCTCTCTCTCTCTCATCTCTCTCTCTCTCTCTCTCTATCTCCCTCTTATTTTTTTCCCTCCCTCTCTCTCTCTCTCTCTCTCTCTCTATTACTCTCTCTCTCTCTCTATCTCTCTTATCTCTCGTGTTCTCTTTATTTAGTTTTTTTGTTTGTTTTTTTTTTGTTTTCTCTCTCTCTCCTCTCTCTCTCTCTCTCTATCTCTCTCTCTCTCTCTCTCTCTCTCTCTCTCTCTTCTCTCTCTCTCTCTCTCTCTCTCTCTCTCTCTCTCTCTCTCTCTCTCTCTCTCTCTCTCTCTCTCTCCTCTCTCTCTCTCTCTCCTCTCTCTCTCCTCTCTCTCTCTCTCCTCTCTCTCTCTCTCTCTCTCTCTCCTCTCTCTCTCTCTCTCTCTCCTCTCTCTCTCTCTCTCTCTCTCTCTCTCTCTCTCTCTCTCTCTCTCCTCTCTCTCTCTCTCTCTCTCTCTTCCCCCCCCCCCCCCTTCCCCGGGAGGGGGGTCCGGGGTCAGAGGCGGGGGGGGAGGGGGCGGAGGAGGAGGGCGGGGCGGAGGAGGAGGAGGCAGAGGACGAGGAGGAAGAGAAAGAGGAAGAGGAGGAGGGGGGGGGGAAACAACACAGAAAAAAAAACAAGCGTTTTGTTTCATCCCCCCCCCCCCCCCCCCCCGACGCCCTCGAAGCCGAGGCGAAGGCGTCGTGTGTGTGTGTGCGCGCGTGCGCGCGCGCGCGCGTGTGTGTGTGTGTGTGTGTGTGTGTGTGTGTGTGTGTGTGTGCGTGTGTGTGTGTGTGTGCGTGCGTGCGTGCGGTGTGTTGCGTTGCGTGCGTGCGTGTGTGCGCTGCGTGCGTGCGTGCGTGCGTGCGTGCGTGCGTGCGTGCGTGCGTGCGTGCGTGCGTGCGTGCGTGCGTGCGTGCGTGCGTGCGTGCGTGCGCGCGTGTGTGTGTGTGTGTGTGGTGTGTGTGTGTGCGTGCGTGTGTGTGTGGGGGGGGGGGCGGGGGGGGGG